ATGTCGCACCTCCCCTCTTCAACACACCCTCTTCCTTCTAACACCCTTGGGTGATGGGAGCACAACGTCACTGATGATGACTAATCAGCAAATAGAATGCACTAATGTCCTTAACATCGAAATCGGCGGGGCGTGTCAGTGTGACATGGGTTTTGGCGCGGCGCCAGCTCGTTCTCCAAGAATTGTTGCCAGATGAGGCGAGCAATTATAGGTGGAAAATCAAGTGGCACCGCTCCATTTCCACGCCACACTGAGACGCCCCGTTGATTTCTTTGTTGAGTACCGTACTTTCAGGCCCAACGGCTTTCATAAATTCCTTTTTTGCAGCGATGGCAAGTAAGAATATGCCGCGAACATTCGGTGACAGTGTGATCCATTCGTCGCACATTGATATGCTGGTCGAATCCGACTTCCCTCTTCATACGAGGCACTTGGGAGAAGACAGTGAAGAGGAACAGAAAATCGGAAAAATCATTGCCGAGAACTTGGTGGACAATGGCGCAACTCTTCAAATGGGTGAGTGTGCTACTAACCATAAGTATTTTATCCTAAACTCCTCTTTTCTCCCCTATCAGCGGCCGTGCGCGAAATGTCCGCTGCTTATTAGGGTGACTGTTTTTCTGAGAGGTGTTGGCCTTAGTATGTCCCAATATCTATGATACCGTCAATCGGTCGGGGCGTTATTGGGTCTGTAGGGAAGTTCTTTATAAAAAATGAATATTGAAAAATTCGTGTGAAGGAGACGTCAATGCATAAGTATTCCATGTATTCCTGTGCAGGGGTTGAGTTTTGTAACTCTTCAGAGCTGGATGGTAAACTTCAGCTTGATAACGCTTATATAAAACCCTTGTTGTCGCGTTTCGTAAGCATACAGCGAAAAGACACTGATCGTGGAAAAAAAGGAACGGACGTGAGTGATGCGAGGGATCGCATAAATGAACGGAACCATCGCTATATAGCGATTGCAAAACGAAATTATGAAGGCGGAGCTTGCGGAGGCGGAGACTGCTCGTCGTTACGGAGCACTAACACTCCTATGGAGCACTTTGGACAAGGTTGCTAAGGAGGTTTCTGCACGTCGCGTAATCGCGAACTCTGTCACTGATCAAGCGTAGCGGCTGTTTTCTTCAGCAGCACATTTGCGAAGTCGGTGTTCAGCCCTTCCAGTCAACATGTAGTCCTAGTGGCCTTGCTTGAGGAGACAATGGTCTTCAATGGATGTGAAAGGATCGGCCTACTATCAGTTGCTGTAGGCGCGTAACTTTTGTCTGCTGATGTGTACCACGATGACTGCAAAAATTGACCAGCACAGTTCGACAAAAATGCCTTATACGATGCAAAGTGTAGGTACTGCACGACATACGATATAGCGTCCGGGACACCTTTGCAAAATTCGTAGAGTTCGGCGGTAGCTCGTGCACTCACTCAGGACATCCCCAGATCTTGCTTCCTTGCCATTTGTCCAGACCTGCCGCGGGACATGACATACGAAGAAAGCATTCGTAATTTACGGCGTCAGAACGGCAGTCACCCACTTCATTAAGCGTTATCCCCTCGACTTTTGGGCAAAGGGCATCTCTGACTTGCTCAACGGCGGAAAAATATTAAAGGCAAGCCCGCGGCTGTTCGCCATCACCGATAGTGGACTAGCGGATGCATATGGACGAGAAGGTTCTAAATAACTGGATTGTTAAGAAAAAAAAACACGGAAAACATGCCAACTTCCCTATTAGAACCCCACTCCGATCCCAGTTTTCACGTGCCCAATCAACTCCTTTTCCAACATTACGCCCCCATCCGCACAGCTGATTCCCCGATAAGAACTCTACGACCGTACAAGTGACAATTTTCATGCTTTTTCGTCCTGCAGCTTCGTTTTTCACTGAAAGGCGGGCCTTGAAGGCGGAGTCTGGAGGCGGAGTCACTGGAAGAAAAGGAGGCGTCACTGAACCTATATTGCGCTACAGCGCCCCTCCCACAGTTTTTGTGCCTCGAAACCGGTACAAGGTTGTTCGTCGCGGACACATTACCTTCCCGACGACATATTTTTCAACTGCTATTCCTGATCGTGGACCGTGCCTTCAACGATATATTTGCCAATATGTTTATATTAGGTTGGCGGGAAAGTTCTGTCACATTTTTCAAACTAGGCTTTCTTTTTATAGAGAGGAGTGTAAGATCAAAATTGTACAGCAATGTTACTGCGGGGTCCTTGCCAGTGTTTGAGCACCTCATGGATGCCATCGCTTCACTATGCAGGGAGACACGACGCAAAGTTGGACACCATCTCAACCTCGACTTGAACTTGGGTTATGGAGGTTTTCTCGTCCGCATAACGATCGATTACGGAAGGCAACTTGCTATTAGAAGGGGCGATGTCTGTGCTACACAAGTGCAAGGGGAGAGAGATCAAGCTCCATTGCATGAGGTACGGCTCGAACTTTTTTGGACCAAGTGCGTTGCACTATCTTGGTGAGGGCCGGCTGTGCGGACAAATTTTTCCCTCTGATCCACGATACGCCTTAGATCTCGTAGCTGCTTTGCGTACGCCTTGACCAAGGAAGCAGCTTCTTCATCCAGCAGTTTCCCGACCCATAGCTCCCTCAAGCTGAGTTTGCAGGTAACCCAAACCTCACTTCGTCATCAAAACTGTAGGCTCCCTAGGCTCCCGCCTTGAAGCGTCACTGTCGTGGTAAGGTTGCTCGATGATTGGGGGCATCGTGCTTATTCAGCTCCATCAATTTGGCATCTGCAGCTAACACGCTGGCGTCAGGGTGGTGGGTGAAATAGTTTGTGGAAGTTGTTGGATGGGTCGGGGCTGATGGTAGCGGATAAAATCCTTGTGCATATGGAGCAAGAGGCAAGCGAGTGGTACTAACAGAGAGACCACTCCTTGTTGTATAAGAGCTTACATTACCGGTTACCACTCTTGGTAATGGGCAAGTAATTTGAGTTCGGAAAAGAGTGACAGAACTTTCCCGCCAACCTAATATATCAGGCAGAAACTTAGAAAATAAGAGGTAGAGTTAGTAAAAGGATTCGACTTCTTCTGTCGAAGAACTTCCCTCCCAACCTATGACATCAAAGCTGAAACAATGAATCCTAAATCGAACTTCGGACTGATGCTTCCTCCCCCCTCCCTGGCACTTGGTTGCTTCATTAAGCATCCCTTCTTAATATTCACTACCGGGCTACTTACATGTGCTCTCCAAGTGGGAATCCTATTCCCAATGAAACAAACTATCACATATTTCAGGTATCGGAGCCGTACCAGATGCAGCCTTGGCTGCTCTGAAAAATCATAAGGATCTCGGTATTCATACGGAAATGTTCTCCGATGGCGTGTTGGATCTAATCGCATGCAATGCCATTACTAATAGTAAAAAGGTAATTTCTTCCAGCTCCGTGCATAGTTCTCAGTGAGCCTCGCTTGGCTTAGCTCTGACTGTAACAAAGGGCTAAGTACTGTCAGAATAGAAGCGGGAACGCTGTTTGCGATACTGCAGCACCCATCAACAATTTTGTTGAATTTTGACAGTCCCGCCTTCATTTTTTCCCATGTGACTGCCATCTCGCTAGTTGACAGCTTTGCTTTAGGTATTGCATCCTGGCAGACTGGTCGTCTCGTTCGTATATGGCTCCAAAAAGCTGTACGATTACTTGGATGATAACCCGTTGATCGAGTTCGGTGACGTACAGTGGGTCAACGACCCTTCTACAATTCGACAGAATCCTAAAGTTACCGCCATCAATTCAGCCGTCGAGGTTGATCTCACTGGTCAAGGTAAGCTTTTCAAGACTTGATTAATTTTGTGTGCGAGAACTAACATTTTATGCTACTAGGTTGTCCCAAAAGTTCGTGGAACTTTCGACATTTTTTCAAGTTAAGTTTATTCCAGTGGGAAGCAATTTTGATCAACTATTGGGTTGGCACATAAGTACTTTCGTTTTTTTTCAACCGGAAATTTCGTTCCAAAGATGAAATGTTGTGATAGGAGGCTTGATATCATCTG